AGATAAGTTTATTTTATATTTAAATATAAAAACAGCATTTTAATAACAACTAAAGGTGACATAGATATTTTATTATGGTATAGTATTTAAATATATGCCTGAGAAACACATAATATTGCCCCTTTAAGAATTCTAAACGATGGAATATTCAAAGTATTCCCAATTTTCTGTTGAGGAACATTTTTTTTAATCTTACTAAAATATATTTTTTTATATCCAGTCCTTAGACTTGTTGCTAATTAACCTATTAGCTGCAATTTGCTCCTCCAGATGTTTTTTATTCACACCACTTACTTTTACAGCCTTTTGTGATTTGTTGAAGCTGTAAAATTTAAAAAAAGAAATAACCCTTTTCCTAAAAGTGTTACAGTTTCTTCGTTTAAACATTTAACATGTTGACTGTGTTCCGCTGAGAATAAATAGTGAGATTTGCAAATCGTTGCATTCTGTTTGTATTTGAACGTTTTCTGAATTTGGGTCGTAAAACGCTATTTGTGTTTTTATTAACGAAACCAACCCTGGCGCAGTAAAACAACTTTCTCGTTTGATTAGAAAATAAATTTTCAGATTGGTCACAGTGTGGAGCCCTGCTGAGGTATCAGCAACGCTGTGCTTTGAACTTCCACAAACACGTCTTTGGTATTCAGGCCGTGGCACCGTCAGTGCTGACTGGTTGTACGGCGTAACATAAAGAACGTCTCCAGACGTCCAGAACTTAGATTTTCTTTGCTCAGAGAGGCTATTGAAGATTAAACATTTAATTCTCTTGTCGCAGTTCAAGCTTTCTTAAAATACACGACAAAGAGATGATCGAATTAACCCGAGATGAAATGGAGCTAATTGGTGCCCCTCTATAACGGCTCATCTTTAGTGCTTCATAAGACAAGTTTCCAACAGTATCATGTTTTTATCCAGAGGCAGCAGGCTGCTTGAGTCGAGGTAATAAATCAGCCGAACAGTTTCATGAATCTGTTTAAAGAGAAACGAGTGCGAAGGAGCAGACCTATAGAACCCCAAATCAGACGTGATTTAATGTGATTAAAAAGAGTCCTTTGCATGGCAGACGTTGGAGCTGAATACGTGTGGCGTCGTGTCTCTGCAGGCTTCCCCTCTGTCACACGGAACAGAGACACCTATCAGTCCATCGACCAGCAGGAGGGGTCCTCCAGTCCTGCAAACCCCTTCAACCAGGCCCAGGACGGCAAGCCGGGGGTCCGCGCCTACTGAGCCCAGCGGGACTTTAACAATACAGTCCAGCTCTGTCAGTCCAGAGCACCGTCACAGCCAGAGCTCAGACAAATACAAGCTTTTACTTTGGTAAACGAACATCTGTTTGGGTTTCACTGTTAAAATAAAGACGAGTGTTGCTGAGCTGGCCTGAGAACTGTTACCTTCTCCCACACCATTAACACCTGCTTATTTTAGCAGACAGGTGTTAAACGGAGGTGTTCTGTTCAGTCAGGTAAAACAAAAAGCTGTGGCACTTATGGAGGTTCAAAGTGGAGTTTTTGTAATTAAGAGCAGCTTTTTTGAGTTACTGAACCGCTCAGAAACGCTGTTCCCTTTTTTTTATTTTATTTTTTTGTGCATTAAACAAAACCTTTAACTGAACAAGATAGAGATAAGCTTCTTTACAGTTTATTTATGTTTATCATAAAAAATGAATATTCTATCAATGCTGTCATCATAAGCAAAAACTAGTGTTTTCATACAATAATGTCCACTAATCCAGTCCAAGTGAAAGTTATGTTTCCTCCAACCTGTAAGCAAGATGTTACTAAACTTGTCCGTGTGAATTCAGTTTATTTTAGAACTCCGATTAATTTCTACCAGAGCCTCTGATTTCTGCTGATGTTGTTAAAGGACCAATTTAAATGGAAATGTTAAGTTGCAAGGAGTCTTTTCACACAAAAATCATGTTTTTTCACTTGAGATGTGCAAATTTTGAAGCCGTATTGTAAAAGAAAAAAAAAAGTGGAGAAACGATGTTACAGTTGTTCTTACTGGGTGATTGCACCACTAACATAAAAAAAGGTTTATCTTTTTGAAATCCTGATCATTTCTGCCACCAGACGATGTGAAAACCATGTAGGTCACATTATGTGAAGTTTTCCCTGCTGTATTAAACTGAATTGTTACTAAGAAGTGCCTTGTTACGTGTTACAAAGACTCTGTGCACGTTTTATGTGATAACGTCAAAGAAACGTGACGTGCAGCTGATATGATGTTTAGGAAACGGCTGTTCTGAACCACCTGAAGGATTTACCTGCTTTATATTTTGATTCTACAGGTAAAAATAATAATAAATTCTGGGTAAAATGTGTAATTTGATCTGGTCTTTTAAAAAAGATTCAAATTGAAACGTAGCAAACCGTATTTTTTTTATTTTCTTCTACATCGTCAGGATGTTGGGTTTTCGTTTGGAACTTTTTGCAACTTTTTTTGTTTTTTCTTCATAAATAAAATGTGTCAAACAGTTTGTTCACCTGTTGTCTGTAATATTTTTATAAAATGTTCCTTCTGTTTTACCTATTTATTGTTTTCTCTCGTCCTGCTCTCTCCGTGTAGCGTTTAGCTCATTTGGCTTTCGTTCATCCCACCAGATAACTCCATTTATCTGCTTCCTCTTTGCAAACCACTTTTCACACTTTATCATATACAGCGGGTAAAATAAGTATTGAACACGTCACCATTTTTCTCAGTAAATATATAACTAGAGGTGCTAATGACATGAAATTTTCACCAGATGTCAGTAACAACCCAAGTGATCCATACATACAAAGAAAT